ATAGTGTAAGAGGGATGGGAGAGAGAAGAGATGAGAAATGGTAGCCAGATGAGCAGAAGTCCAGTGTGTCTCTGTTCCAGGCACCCAGACCCTGTCACCTTGCCCAAGTTCACAGTCTTGTACTTCAGAGGCACCGACAGTGGCTTCAAGAGAGGCAGCCATGGACTTAGAAGATGGATCAGGGGATGGCAAGCATGCAGGATGAGGACCTGAGTTCAGATCCCCGGAAGCCACGTAAAGCCAACCACAGCAGAGCACAGTCTGTGATACCATCACTCTTACATCAAGAGGGAGGCAAAAGCTGGAAAATCCCAGATGCTAGCGGGCCAGTTAGCCTGGTGTATGCAGTGACAAACAAGAGACCCTGTCTCAGCAGAGTCAGCTAAGTGGAAGAGGAGGACCAAAACCCGAGGCTAGCCTCCTGCCTCCACACATACCCTTCTCTACACACCCCAAACATGCATCACACCACACATACAGAGATTTAGAAATAATAGAGTTTTTTAAAAAAAAAAAAAAAGAGTGAACATTTCCTACATGGCCATTAAAGCCAGATCACAGAGGAAGGAAAGTGAGGGCAGACATTTAAAGGCCTCCAGGCCATGCAGGAGAGTCCCGGCCCGAGGCTCTGGTCTGGGGTCAGTTGTACAGATCGGTAAGTAGCCTGGTCCACCCCTGGGTAGAGCAAGCGCTGGAGGATGACCTGGGACAGGAGCCAAGGTAGACAGTGCAGCAAGGATAGGGAGGTGGCCTAATAGCAAGCAGGTGGAATCAGCAAGCAAACATCACAGAGAAACAGCAGCAGCACCCTTGCAAGGGCTGCTGGGTACATGAGTGAGGGTACCATTGAAAAGGCTGTCCAGGGGTCATTCATGAATGAGGAGCACAGTCCTGAACCTTGCTGCCTAACCCCAAACCTTTCCAGAATGCCACAAAGCAGGTAGTAAGCAGCCCTGCTCTGCCCCTCACACACACACACACACACACACACACACGCACGCACGCACGCACGCACGCACGCCCCATATGCCATCACCCTGTATGTTTCCTGCCTTCCATGCCATGGGCTGCCCAGCACGGAGGGCAGAACATTCTGCCCAAGGCTTCCTCCCTGAGGCCCCACAGTCCTTCCTGCCTCCCCAGCAGAGAAGCCCTACCTGTGAAATCCTGACGGAGAAAAGTCTTGCAGTTGCTCTCACACCCTCTGTCTGCTTTCCTCCGAGTCTCTACTTTAGTCCTGTCGGGCTAAAGGATAGCTGCTCAGGTTAGCCAAGTGCCCTGGATCACACAAATTTTCTGACCCGTTGGTGACCGGCTATACCTGAGAAATTCAGTTACTATCTGACAGAAGACCAGCTCTGTCCTATGAGGAACTGAATACTATAGACCCACTTGATGCAAACGGCTGGGAAAGTGGGTTCTGGGGTCAGTGCCCCTCCCCCACAGCCCCTGCCCAGTGGCCCGATCTGCAGATAAAGACACCGGGACTTAAAGAAGTTGGTGTCCCACTATCACACAGTTAATGGCACAGCCGAAAGAATTTGGCCCAGACTTTCTGGCTTCTGCCCCCCCCCCCCCCCCCCCCCGTGATACTTTCTGGTAACCCATCCCAACACTGAGGGAGCATTTTTACCTCTTGTTCAGAGGTGACCAAATCACACACAAGAAATCAAAGTCCCTGAAGGACTTAAGACCCTCTCGTTCCCTTTCTCATGGCTAGCTATAGTACTGATTCCTCAGAAACTCCCTTCTCTAACTCTCTGGGGAGGGGGACCTTGAGGTCCCAGGCCCATTGATTCAGACTAGTCTCTTGCTTTCTTCAGGTCTTCAGACCTAGTGTGAGCTTGTCTTCTAGACCTTGATCAGGCCAGGATGTCCCTCCAGATCTCTCCCAGACCCTGTGTTGTGGCTGGAGACCCAGCTTGCCTAAGGACCAGCTGCTTAGCAAGATCTGACAGTGCTGGGACAAAGTGCTCTGATTTAGCCCTGGGGCAGCTGCTCCCAGGGAAGGGGCCAGCTTGTGTTCTGCAGGGCTTCATACAGCGCCACCTACTGGAAAGAGAAAGTCGGGACGCTTGGACCTGCGCTGTGATTCTCCAAATGTCCCTGCCTGGGTCTTACTCCCAGAGGTGCTAATTGACCTGGGTTCCAGCCCTGGCTTTTCATGACTCCCCAGGTGGTTATGTAGCCACAACTCTGAAGACATGGAGAAAACTTGGAGACTTACCTGGATGTGTGTCATGACCATGGTGCATGAGCAGACTTCAGTCCGGCCCAAATGCATCATTTCGTGTGCTAAGTGATTCTTTCTATCTAAGTGAGTGACTTCTTGTGCCCCAACAGATTAACTATCCCCAGACCAATCTGAGCTTATCCTTTTGAGGGTTCAAGATATGGAGGCTGGGCTGGAGAGATGGCTCAGCGGTTAAGAGCACTGCTTGCTCTTCCAAAGGTCCTGAGTTCAGTTCCCAGCAACCACATGGTGGCTCACAACCATCTGTAATAAGATTTGGTGCCCTCTTCTGGCCTGCAGGCATACATGCAAAATACTAAGAATACTGTATACACAATAAATAAATAAATCTTAAAAAAAAAAGATATGGAGGCTCAGGTTACTCCCTGGTTGGGAAAGAGCAGGGGTTCAGAGTTAGCCTAGTAGAAATTGTGTACCTATTTCCATACAGAGATTGCACCCATTAAATACCATGTTTTTCAGTTCTTAAAATAGCGTTATAACTCATCATGGTCACATTAACTATTTCATAATATTCAGAATCTCTGCTCGGCAGGATCCTATGCCTTTAGATAATTTGTTTTGAAGGAGAGAGGAAAGAGAAGGCAAAATTAGTTACTTCTTAGTTAATGCACCGTGTTTGTTAGGCAAAGACCTCACTATGTAAGATCCTTGGAAGAAAGTAACTCAAGGGGTCTTTAGTAGCTGTAGATTAAAACCACCAAGCTAATAAGGCTCCCTCAACTTGAAAGACGGAAGAACTGAGGACCAAAGAGATTAAAGGGCCATCTCTGAACCAAATCTTTCGAAGTCGAGAGCCTCACTCTAACTTGCCAGGCAATACAGTTACATAAGGGAATTGTGGGGGTAATATTTTATTCAAAGTTCCTAGTGTTCATGGAAGCTGACCAACAGGGGTAGCCATTAGTCAGTCAGCCAAGTCAGCCACATCTGTTATTCGGTTCCATCCACCCAGACTCAGGAAACCCTTTGTTCACAGAAATTGTGCGGCCCATAGATGAGCTCCACCCACAGGGACTCTGAAAGTCTGCTGTGTCCTGGGATTCCTGTCTCTAAACATCATTTTTGGCTGTTGTTGTTTTTGTTTGTTCGACCAAGAAAAGATGCTGCCCAGTATAGTGGAAGGTGCCATTCATCAGGAGATACGCCCTGAGTTTAGAGAGGGAAACCCGGAAGGGGGCCAGCATGTATCGCACAATGGTGGGAGTGTCAGCCTCTCCAGTTCCATTTAGCAGCACAGCTGTGGCCCTGTGCGGTACCCTCATGCTGGCTTCTCTCACTTGGAGGTACCAGCGGAGAGAAAAGAGTTCTCGGAAGGAATCATCCATTCGAACAGCAGAAGCGGAGGAGAAGGCACACCCACTCCGTGGGATCCAAGGACAGTCCTGCCTCTGTCCTCAGAAGACCTGGCCCTGAATCAGCTCTGAAACTAATGGTGTCATCCTGGCCTTACTGCGGGCCTCAGCTTCCTTCCTCATCTGCTAGGCAGAGATGATAAACCCTTCCCCATCCTCCCAGGATGGTTGTAATGTTTAGACAAGAAATTGACAGAGTACATGCCAATCACACACGAGGTAGGTGCCTGGTGTGTGTGAATTGCTAAGAAGAACCCCCAGGCTTTGCTTCACTGAGGTCTGTGACTGCACAGAACAGAGAGTGGAGAAGTGACCACAGAGTCACCATGGTACAGATGAGGAGCCTTTCACGGGGATTAGCATCCAGGTGTGGGCAGAGATAGAGTGGGGTAGGAGCAGGCTTCTCTTCTCTGGCTTTGACCATACTAAGACCTCTAAGGAAACCTCCTCTATCTATCAGGAGTAAAGAGTCCATGGGGACCTGAAGACAAGGGGCAGGGAGAAGTTGACCTTCCCAGGATCAGGCAGCAGAGCCGTTCAGAAGTCTGAGTCCTGGGCAAACGGTCTTCGTATTCCATATGTGGCATCTAGAGTACATGTGTGGCATAAATTACATTCTAGTGAAGCACCGCACCCAGCAAGATGGCTCTTCGGCCTCCTAATCCCTGGAGGCTGACATCCTGGCCGTGCTCCATGACACTCTTCCTCAGAAGCAGCTCTCAGACCACCAAGTGAGTAGGTTCCTGTCTGGCCCCATCTCTGGATCAGACTGCAATATGCCAATGAGCAAAGAGGGAAACTCGGCTGCCTCCCAATCCTTTGCAGGGATCTGAGAAACATGAGCACCTTTCTAGGGAACAGGCACTGGGGACACATCCTAGCACTCCATCCCTCCTGGATCTGTCCATCCTAGAAACAAGACCTCAGACAGGGTACCTTTCCCCAGTGAACCTGTTTCTTCACCCGCTGTCCAAATGTGAGCATGTGCCAGCATGAAATACCCTCTGGGATGATTTGGGAGAGACCAAGGAGAACTCTGCGAAGAGAGCACCAAGAATGGTTTGGGGAAGGCAAAGGGTCTTTACCCATGGTCAGTAAGAAGCATAAATTTGGGCTAAACTTAGATCTGAAATCTCTCTGCATGTGAGGTGTGTGTGTGTGTGTGTGTGTGTGTGTGTGTGTGTGTGTGTGTGTGGCCTGGCAAGTTCACTGAGCACCTGAAGCCTCGATTTGCTTGTTTATAAGCTAACAGAGAAATTCTTCCTTTAGACCCTTAGGAAGACTAATTGACAAGGTACCTGAAGAGGGTCTGGTGCCCAATGGGCACTAGACAGGAGGCAGTTGGCAAAGCTTCAGGTACCAACCACCTGATCTCCCTTTTGCCTCTGCAGGTCGGTGGGGCAGCTGTCATGGCTGTGGGTATCTGGACACTGGTGGAGAAGAGTGGTTACCTCAGCATCTTGGCCTCGAGCACATTTGCTGCCTCTGCCTACATCCTCATCTTTGCTGGTGCTCTTGTCATGACAACCGGCTTCCTGGGCTTCGGGGCCATCATCCGGGAGCAGAAGAGCTGTCTCTCCGTGGTGAGTGTCCTTCTGTCTCTCTGTGGGGATTGTTTCTCCACAGGAGTGTTATTCCATGGAGAGTGAGTGTAGGCCTGTGCACTGTGGGGGCAGGGAAGCATCACACGTGTCTCTCAGGTTGGGCTTGCCAGCCTAAGTTGGCGCTGAGGATTCTGGGGAGCCAGAACCCGGAGCCTGCTGTGGGGACTGTGAGGGCTATGCGCTCCAGATACGTGGGACCTGAGCCAGGAGGTCAGCCTTAGCATTACCACAGCAGTTTCTAGGGTCTTGATTCTTCCTCTTCTTCCTCCCCTTCTCCCTTTTTTCCTCCCTTCTTCCTATTTCTCTTCCTCCCTTTACTCCTCTTCCTCCCCAAATCTTCTCTTTCCCCTTTCTTCTTCTGCTCCTTCTTCCTCCTCCATCTTTTCCTTTCTTTCCTTTTCCCTCCCCCTTCCCTTTGTCCCCCACATCCCCGTCTCTTCCTCCTCCCCCTCCAGACTTTAGCAGGCAGTTTTCACAGATTTACTGAAGGGACCCTCTCTGCCCCACCACCCAGAGCGCACCATTGTCCTTTCACGGTCACCATTGTCTGGTGCACACCCTCCCTGTGTTCTGCACTTGGGTGAAGCGGCTCCAGACACTGGCATCTGTGTTTCGGCATACGACTCTCAAGCCTAAGGGTCCTTCACCACAGAGGAAAGCAATCAATATTCAGTCCTTGACATTATGAAATAATGAGGGAGCTTCTGATTCCCCCAACTGATTCATAAAGCAGTATTTCTTTTTAAGCTTGTTTAATTAGGCCCATGTGTTGATTCATCTCTGAAGTCTATCTCTGGGTTTGTTGAAAGGTCTGATAGATTTCCAGATATTTCTTTCTTTAGCTATGTCCCTGTGTGGTATTTAACATGTACTCTTAGCAGTTCTGTGGAAAGGCTTAATCGGGCTTAACAGATTTGATCATTTGTAAAGAATATTTATTTCATGGCTAGCATTTGTAGGCATCATGGGCTCCATGATGTGTCTTCCTGGGGGTCTGGGGAGACACCCATAGAAGCTCCTCAGGGCCAAGAAAGAGGCCAAGGAAGACCCAGAAGGGACCCTGAGGCTAAGACCACCTTGGGCCCACACACCCAGTACCCTTTGGCTGTGGCTGACTCCCCATAACCTAGAGGCCTCTCTGTGCCCACCTCAGAGGACCAAGGCTAAAGTTCAAAAGAGAAAAAAAAAAAAAAACAGGAAAACCGACAAATGCCTGGGCTTTGCGAGAAAACCTAAGCTGCAAAATAGCTCCAAATTTCAAAGAGAAATCAGGCAAAGGGAAGTAGCTCTGCAGGGCTCTTGGGCTCCCTGTTTCCACCCCGCCCCCTCCCCCCAATATCCTCCGAAGACCATGCTGCTCTGTCTTGCACTCATCCTCCGGAGTGGGAGGCAGGGGTTGCTGTGGTGAGCCTGAGGCCTGGCCCCTGCAGCAGCTCTCAAAACGGCGACCTAGTTTTTGGCCTGGATATGAAAGCTGCTCCGTGCAGGCCCAGCTGGATGGTGCTCCCGTTTTGTGGGATCTCTTCATTTTACTCTGGAACCGGGGTGCTGGCAGGGTACAAGGTGAGATGTAGGGTAAAGTTCCATGAGGGACCAACCTTCAGGGTGGACACTCTGAGCCTCTCTCCAGCAGTGGGCAGAGGTGCTGGGAGGCAGCCACAGCCTGCCTGGCTGTCCCTCAGGCAGCGTGGCAAGAACATGGTCATCTCTTGAAGCTCATAGGGATAGGTTCTGGGAAATGCCCCCACACCCTGCCCTCCACACACATACCCAGAGCTGGGGGATGCTCAAGGGCCTTATACAGAAAGACGCAGTATTCACGTGTAGTCTGTATCCACACTTCATCTCTTTAGAAGTCCTCGTTAGCTACTTATAATAGCAAATGCCATGCAGATGCCACATAAATAGCTGTGTCTTACTATTAAGGGCTGATGGGATGGGCTATCAGGCCCAGAGAAAGAACTCTCTCCTTTACCAGTTTGTGGGTCTATGTCCTGCTGGACTCTGAGAGGTCTAAGGGTCTAGGCAAGCTATTGTCCTGACCTCTGGAACCTGTCCCAGGAGAGCATCCTGCTGAGCCCCGTGCCTCCTTCCTTCCTACTGTGGATTCTGCTTTATAGGGCATCTAAGGGAACAAGAAACAGAGGAGGAACCTTCTAGTGGGGAGACCAGGACACCCTCTTGACAGAATGAGAAAGAATGCAGACACTGTCCCTTGAGGACCCAGCTTCTGACTCAGCCATCCATCTCGGGGGTGAGGTGTCCCCAGCAGCCTTGGGAAACAGTCTCTGCTGACTAGGCGCAGCTTGCTGACGACACAGATGGCCACTGTTCACTGAGCACACCGCCTGCTGCTCCTCACACTCCACCACCAACCCCGCGAAGGCACTGCCATCTGCACTGTTCCCAGCACTAGCGCATGCTAACTCGCTCAGGCCTCACATGCCCACGGAGCTGCTCAGACTCGTGATGTGCACTTGACAGGAGCTGGGGAGCAGGTACAGGTGAGGTGATCTGCCTAGAGAGGGGTCACTGGGAGAAGCATGAAGGGAACAGGCTCAGCCAAGCAGGTAGGAGGCCGGAAGCAATCGACCTGTCAGGGAGGGGTGGAACACACAAAGAGAGGCCAGAGGGATGTCGAGGGTTGATTTTGAATGTCAGCAAGTCAGAGTTAGGGGAAGTTGGGAAGGGAAATTTATGGTAGGCCTAGTCTTATCTCTCTGATCTACCTGGTCACTAGTTACTGGGATGCTCACATTGGGGGGAGGGGAGTGAGAAAATACAACGCACAGCTATAGCTAGGGGCAAATGGCCCACTTCCTGTACTCTGACACTGCACACCTCCTATGCCCAGAGAGGCAAGATTCATTCTTCCTCACTGATGAGGAGCTAGGCCTAGAGATGGGGAAGGATGACTGTGAACCCAGCACTCAGGACCCCCCTTTACTTCCCCTAAGCCTGATGGTTCCACAGTAAGGTCTAGAATCTGCCCAGAAAGCTAAACAGAAGCGCGAAATCTCCAGAAAATGGGGCAGGCTGCCTGTCCACCTATGACTGCATGTGTGTGAGCAGGTGTGTGCGCTTGCACAAGTGTACACACGTGCATGCACACACACATACTCTCTCTTACACACACACACACACACACACATTCTGAACCTCCTTTATCAACACATTCGGAAACTTGCTCAGAGCTCCACCTGAGGTGGGATGTAAGGGCCCCCTTCAGGTATCGCGTACCCGCACATTACAGAGCCACCCTTTCTCACCAGACGGCACGCTCTCTGTGGCACCCTTACAGCACTGGCCACATGGCCAGTAGCTCCATGTTGGAGTGAATCAGGGACCAAACTTCCAGGGAAAGACCCCAGAAATCTCCCTCGTTTTTTGCTTTTTCATTTGGAAAGACAACAGCCGTCCTGAGTCATGAAAAGGACATGAACTTGGGCCCGGCGAGGAGGCACATAGGTGGAGAAGACAGCCTGTCTAGGCAGTAGATAAGGTCCTACCAGACTTCACCACACTTCCTTGGCCCAGGCAAGTGTCTCTAGCTAAGAGAGACAGGGAGAATAATGTCTCTAGGAAGGAGCTGATAGGAAAGTGTGCTGGGGCTTAAGAGGGGGAGGGCTCATTCCAACAGGCCACTGTGAGGGTTTCCTTCATTGAAAACTAATCCCATTTCAATCTGAGGTCTTTCTTACCAAGCCCAGCTGTCTGGATTCTGGGTGTCTGTGCAGTCCTTGTGAGGTCTGCTCTTTGTGGCGTTTGTGCTGATCAGGGAAATGCTCTCCATCTCTGTTGGGAACTAGACCCTTGGGGATCAGATCAAAGACTAAAATGCCACCAAGCAGAGTAGCACAGGGACCGCTCTGTGGCTGAATACAGAGCCCAGCAAGACAACCCAGGGAGTCACAAGGGAGGACACAGCCAGGCTGTGGGGGCTGGGTCCCGGTACCCTCCAAATGCCCTGCTATTGTAGCTTCTATGGAGGCTGTGTGCTCACCCAGGTTGTGCACACACTGCGAGTAGCAGCCCTAAGAATAGCTGCTAATTTGGGTCCCTTCTCAAAGGAGTTTTGCTATGATGTGTTGCTTAGAGTCATGGTTTTATGATCTTTACATAACATGGCTTCCTCATTACCACCACACAATGGGGTTACTACGGTGACCAGGAGAAGCTGGGTGGCTCCTCCTGGTTGGAGGTTACACAGCAAGGTGGGCAAGCTGCGTAAAAGCTGCTTTTGAGCCCCAGCTTAGATCTATCTGTCCTGAATTCTAGACTTTGTCCTGCTGGCTAACAAAGCCTCAGAAGCCCAGAAGGAAACGTTGTGACTCTGGGTCCGTGGTTTTCAGAAACTGGGTTCTAGAACTTACTTTTTTCCATCCACCCCCTCCCTAAAAATAAAAGAGCTCCTGACAAAGGCCCAGTTTAGTCTGAGCCGTCCATCACGATCTCCGTTTGGCTGAAGATAGAAAACTTTGCGGGGCCCACATTCCAGACGCTAAAAATAGGCCCCTCCTTTGATCTGGGTGGCATGGGCCCTGGTCATCAGCTCTCGGCTCAGATGGCCTGAATTATCTGTCTCTCTCCTGTAGTCTTCGCTAAAATAGAAGCCCTGGTGTGAATAATTTAAAATCCATCCCTTTTCCCTCTGCAGAGTTCTCATACAAAGCCCATCGCTGCCTCGGCGTCCGAAAGGATAAGCTATTCTTGTCCTCAAGCAGTGACTCCTTCTTAGGATAGTGACTTTTAGGGGTGGCAGATTTGCCAGGACGAACAGTACATGAGGGAGGAATAGCAAGCCTTGGTAGAAGTAGGCAGCCCCCTCTCAAGGCATTTCCTGGGGATGCTCAAGGCCACTCCCACCCCTACTGTGATCCAACTTGGATGCCCGTCATTCCAATGCCTGTCTTTCATCTTTTCTCTTTGTGAGGAATGGACTCACTGTGTTTCTCCTTTGGGGCTTCCTCTACCACCTT